AGCTCAGTTTCTGGCATTTCAATGCCACAAAAATAAGAGATTTACCACTAGTGACAGTCTCTTTGTCCCTAACTCCACCATGCCTACAGCCTCCTTGCATTTTAATTAGGGCCAACAGTGCATTGCCATTCCAGGCTGAAACCCAGTGTTCCCTGGGCTTTATTCTTAGGTGGCACAACTTAGAAAAGAAATTCTTGTTTTTTGCACTCTGCCAAAAAAACTGCAAAGACTGGAGGCATGGAAACTGGAGGAAGGAAGAGGAGCATCCCAGATAAACATTTCTTCACCTGGCTACTCATGCGTGTGTGCGTGCATGCATGCTATCCTTTGTTGCCTAACTTCTCTTTGCAGGCCAGCATGTTAAGGTATGGAACAGCTGGCTAAGCAAGCCTCCACTTTCTGCTTCCAGAAATTCAGACCAGGGATGACGCTAAATGGTCCCATTTATCCTCCATTGCCGTCCTCCCACCCAGTTCTCTTAGGCCAACATTGTAATCTTCTCATAAAAGATATTCATAGAGAAGCTGCATGGGGCAGGGCTAAGAAACACATTGTCTCTTTCTCTTGACACAGAGACGTGTGATCAGAAGTGCTGGGCATTTAATAGAGGCCAATAGGACATGGGGAAGAAAATGGAAAGAAAATGAGAGACTGCAGAGACTGCAACTACATTACAGGAAGAAGACAGTTTGTTCTGGTGATACTTATATGACTAGGGAAATGGCTGAAGCCAAAAATCAGTTCCCATTGAACCCTTTTTTTCTGGCTGAACCTCACTACCTACTATACATTGAGGCACACTTAGATATTCCACCATTTTGATTCCAAATTTTTGCATGTTTAAATACAACAAATGTCCTGTTTGCTCAATTCCATTTCATTCATGTGTTATCCATATCAAAAAATGTTTACTTGATACACTGAAGGTGTAGCCCAAAATAGGTCCAGGATCTGATCGATGGAAATTAATAAACTAAGAGAAGCATTTTTTCAGAATGGAAAAATGAGAAACTGATGGACAGTCATTTTTATATTGTCAGATTAGACTAAAAAGCACCAGATAGCCACACATTTTATATGAGCTGGTCACAGCGTTTTTTCCAAGTGATACCAAGATCTGATCAGGTCATTGGGGAGGAATAGGGAGGGGCTGTAGAGGAGATTGCCCGAGGCAATGGTAAACAGTCTAGGACTGGATTGGCTGAGAAGCCTCCTAAGCGCATGGAATTATGGGGGAAAAGATTTGAAATAAAAGGAGGGTAGAGACTGGCTCTCTGGCTCTCTTCCTTCAGGATGCCTGGATGATGGAGCTGTAGCTGCCTGTATTGCCCAGTGGCTGGTATTTTGGACGGGAGAAGAAACCCCCATCCAGGTGCAGCCTAGGGTCAGGCTGGCCTGGCAAAGGCTATTCTTCTCTGGGTGGTCTAGAGGGGACGCTGAGGGCTCTGAGGCTGAAGCCTGCCGTTCTTGCAAAATTGTGCAGCTTTGGTGTCTTATGTTGTTTTAACTTGTAAACTAATCCTATTGAAACAAGATAATTTAAAATTAACATGGGGGGAATGATAGGGAAACTCAGGAGTTAAAGATTTTAGTTAATTGATAGGCTTAAGTGCCTAATGCACGTGGAAAGCTGTTATTCCAAAAGTGTATAGCTTTTGAATAAAGGCTCCTTTCCTCTGTCACCAAATGTTTGTCTCTGGAATTTTGCCCAGAGGGTGGCAGCGGGCAGCAGGACCCCATGTATTATTCAGTGACACGAGTGGGCACCACTAATCTAGGGTAAAACTGAGTAAGAGCTTCTGGGGAAGACTTCTAGGCAAATGAAGGGAAACGTACAAAAAAATGTTTTATTGGAGCTAGGGCCAGCGCTAGGAGGAGAGGTGTGTGGCAGTCATGTAAGTCCTGGTTGGATCTCGTTTTTAAAAAATTATTTGTTCAAGAATTTTTTTTTGCATTATTTTCATTTAAAAATTTTAAAAATAATTTTGATGTTTTAAGTTAATTTTTTTATTAAAGATTTTATTTTATTTATTTTTAGAAAGAGGGGAAGGAAGGGAGAGAGGGAGAGAAGTATCAATGTGCGGTTTCCTCTCATGTGCCCCCCACAAGGGACATGGCCCGCAACCCAGGCATGTGCCTTCTGGGAATTGAACCAGCAACTCTTTGGTTTGCAGGCTGGCACTCATTCCACTGAACCACACCAGCTGGGGCTGATTTTTTTTATTAAAAAAAATTAAACCCGATTTTGTTTTTCTATATTACCACTTTTCTTCAAGACAACCATTATACGTTGGTATGGAGCAGAAATATTTTATGCTTATTTCCCAATTTGTCACTAAAGAGATATACTTAATAATCAAAATTTAATAAAATTAATAGCTCTTACTACTTCATCAAGGATATTAAATGAAAGCGACTTTAGTATAAGTACACAGTGCCAGAAGTTTTATTCACCATTATTTCTGTATCATCCATGCAAATGCCAATGCAGTGAAAAATGCAAAAACCATCTTAGAATTATTATAAAATTATTTTGACTCCACAGACCTCTTGAAAGGGTCTTGGGAAACCCCATGGATCTATAGACCACGCTTTGAGAACTGCTGCCTTAAAAGATACAGTTTGAACATTGAATCAAAACCCTCCTCCATAATAAGCTAGGATCCTCAGTCAAATGGAGGCAACATGACTATGGCTATCCCCAGTTAGTTTTGCAAAAAATATGTGGTGAAGAGTTGAAGCAAATTGACTCATCTGTCATATACACTGTTCTGAGCAATCTTGAGGCTAAAGGGAAGGTATGAACAAGAGGTAAAAGAACTTGAATGCTGTGAATATAATCAATGACCTGAAGGCATTGCCATTTTAGGGCAAATGTGTGGAGAAATACTGCCCCACCCCTCCCTCACCTCCCTGTCTCCAGGGAATAAAGAGCAGAGGAAACTACAGCCAGGCAGGAAAATCCAGGCAAATACCACTGAACATGCCTAGGCTGTTCCAAGATCCTGGGGCCTGCCTGCCTGCCTAGTGTTGAAACTTTCTCCTCACACTGCCTAGCATGCAGCCTGGAGCAAATTCCCAAACCACTATCTTATCAGTCTCCTCATGTGTAATATGAATATAACATTAATACCTTCTTCATAGGATTGCGGTAAGTAGTACCTGAGGTCATGTACACGCATTGAGCATAATGCCTGAGAACATAAGCATTCAGTAATAAAAGTTATCTTACTAAAAATAAGAAACATGCTTCTGCATTGATTCACTGCCCAGCATTCAGCGTCTTTTGCCACATGGATAAATGCTTCATCAGCCCACTGTCTTGCTTGTGTTAGGTATTCAGTAAAGGTTACTTCCTCCCTCCAGCTAGACCGGGAAGCCTGTCTGGACCTGTCATTTCATCCACGCTGCTTTGAGTGTAGAAGCTTCTCACCAACAAGAGAAAGCTGAGGCTTCAACATGGAAAAGTATACTGAAATGGACAAATGAGTACATAAAAGTAAAAGTGTTTATTATATGGCAAAATTGTGCTTCATCTTTTCCTAAAAATTGTTTTTACTGTTGTTAAAAATGTTTGAAAAAACAGAGGAATTGTTTTTAAATATTAAAAAGAGCAAAACATTTAACTCACCGACAAAAAAACTTATCAACCTTGCTTTTTGCTATTTTCTGTGGCAGACAAAATAATGCCCCTCACGAAGATGGCCACATCCTGATGCCCAGAACCCGTGACGATGACAGCTTGCTTGGCAAAAGGGACTTTGCAGATGTGATTAATTTAAGCACTTTGAGATGGGGAAATTATCCAGGATTATGCTGGTTGGGACAATGCAATCACAAAGGTCCTCAAAAATGGAGAGGGAGGCAGAAGTCAGTCAGAGAAGATGTGACTATAGAACAAAGGCACAGAGAGAAGCAACACTGCTGCCTTGGGAGACAGAGACGGGCCACGTGCCCAGGAACTTGTGCAGCCTCTAGAAGCTGGAAAGTGCAAGGAAGCACATCCTCCTGTGGAGCCTCCTGACAGGAATGCAGCCCTGACACCTTGATTCTGGCCAAGTGACACCCATGTCAATCTTCTTAACTACAGAATTGTCAAACAATAAAACTCTGCTGTTTAGGCCACTAAGTTGGTGGTAATTTGTTACGGCAATAGATGGAAAACTAATATAGTCCCAAAGGTTATCCAGTCACCCTTGGTATACTTCCATGCGCGATGAAGTATGTAGCCACGCTACCAGGGTGAGGAGGACTAGCGACTCCTCTGGCTTCAATAAGCTTCCCAGTGCAGTTCTGGCCGTTCAAATCCCACAAAATGCCCTGGCTGGTGTGGTTCAGTGGATTGAGCGCTGGCCTGTGAACCAAAGGGTTGCTGGTTCAATTCCCAGTCAGGGCACATGCCTAGGTTGCGGGCCAGGTCCCCAGTAGGGGGCGTGTGAGAGGTAACTACACATTAATGTTTCCCTTTCTCCCTCCCTTCTCTGCCTACAATAAATAAATAAAAATCCCACAAAATAAGGTGCTGACCATTAATGACAGTGACCACCCTTGAAGATCTGGATTCAAGAGGTTTGAGACATAAGAATATCCATATTTAACTGGTTATTCTATTAGAGATGGTTGGTAGTCCACATTCTGAGACACATTCATTTCTACTTGTAAGGAGTTTAAAACTTAGGTGCTGACTAAATGTAATTCCAATTCATAATAGATAAATAAATATGCATACTCTTCAGACAGGTCAACAGCCAGGGACAAGGGTGCAAGGCTGGAAATGGTCCAGAATGCATACATCCTTCCGTATGCTTCTGTTAACAAAAACTATTTGGAGAATTAAGCCAGATGAGATCTTTGCCTACTCTCTCCTGTGTGATCAGTGCTTCAGGGCTCCGGAGCAGGTCCAGTGGAATCCTGGCAGCCTTACACACCTCTCATGGAAAAGCATTCCTGACGAGCACAGACCTAAGGCAGAATACTTCTTAGCCTCCCAAGCATCCCACCTGTTTCTTTAGGAGGCGGAGATGTGCTGGCCCAGGGTGTGTCGTCTTCAAACTGAACCCAGTTCCTGATGGCCGAGGCCAGGTCAGGCAGGGGCGGCTCAGGGCTCCCGGGAGGAGAGGCGGCTTCAGAGATGAGACCCATCTTCTCAGAGGAGTCATCCTGCTCTGAGTGGGAAAGGTCCTGAGAGCCCCCATCCACCACATGGTTCTCCGCTGAGGAGCTCTCGGACTGGTCTGAGGAAGATGACAATCCCGGGAGGTGCTCTTCGGTGCCCCCTGAAACAGACGAGAGAGCACCATCATGTCACCTGAGGAGGGCCACTCTGCAGAACTGGCTTGTGGTGGAAAAACAAAGTGTGGGCAAGAGGTAATCACAGGACTCAGCATTACAGTGAATAAGGTGAGGGTAAAGAAAGAGCCATGCCCACCTGCCTTTATGCTAAAGGCACGTTTAGCTGATAATGTGTAAAACTGCCCTGGCCAGTATGGCTAACTTGGTTGGAGCACTGTCCCATAAACTGAAAGGTCACGGGTTCAATTCCCAGTCAGGGCACATGGGTTGTGGGCTCTATCCCCAGTTGTGGCACGTACAAGAAGCAACCGATTGATGTTTCTCTCTCATATCAATGTTTTCCTCCCTCTCTCTCTCTGCCTCCCTTCCCCTGTCTCTAAAATCAATGAGCATGTCCTCAGGTAAGGATTTAAAAACAAAAACCAAAAAACTATAACCTCAAAACTATAAACTCAATGCTACCATTGCAGTATTCAGGCAGGCTGAGACTGGAGTAGTCTTGTTCACTATTCTTATCCTAGCACCTACTCCAGTGCTCTGCGGTTGCAAACAAAAATGCCTACAGAGGCCAAGCAAGAAATATAGCTAAGTTGAAGGAGAAAAGCAAAAGGCAATAGGGACTGGTAGAGAGTATGGCGGAACTGGAGAGCTCCTGTCTGGACTAGACATTTCAAGTCAAACTTAAGCTCCATGCAATCCTAACTACACACACATGCAGGCTGCCAGGTGCACACTCCACACCAGTGATCAGCTGTATGTGGCAGAGGCTCTTACCCTTGCTTTGTGTCACTTTACTGGTCCTGGAACATTTAACAGCCTTCAAATAAATTTTTTTTAACTATATCATGGTTGTGGTGGTGATTACACAAATCTATAGATGGAAAGTTCATCAACTGTACATCAAAAGTGATCAATTTTACTGTATAAAAACTTAAAAAAGAAACTCAAACTAGCCAAACAAACTAATCAAAGCCTTTAGATGACACTGTCCAAAAATAAACAAATAAATAAAAAGGAAGCCATGTATGTAATTTAAATGTTCCAGTAGCTCCATAAAAAAGCAACAAGAAACAGGCAAAACTACTTTTAATTATATTTCAACCCAGTAGGTTGAAAGTTTATAATTCCAAAATGTAATTGATATAAAAACTGTTAATGAAATACTTTTTTACTAGGCCTTTGAAATTCAGTGTGGGTATTTTATGCTTACAGCACAACTCAGTGGAGACTAGCCACACATCAAGGACTCGATAGCCTCCCAGCTGCCATAGTAAAAGCGCACCTGTGAACTCACGCTTTCCAGGTGTTGTAAATGAAGCTGGGTTGATTTTAGGTAGCAGAGGCAGCTGCAGGAGGACAGAATCAGGCAATGTGGTTCTGCAACTATCTCCCATACCCTACCTTGACCTTCATCCCTTAGTACCAGTTCCCTAGAACTCAGTTTTGTCATCTTCATCATGATCACGGATGAGTTACCGAGCTCTTTCCATGTGCTGGGCTCTTTTCTAAGCACTTTACATATATTAATTCATTTAATCCTCACAACCACTGTGAGGAAGATTCTGTGATTATCCCTACTGCACATATAGACTATCACACAGAGATGTTAAATAAATAACCTATCCAAGGGCATACTACTCATCGATTTTGGAGCAAGGGTTTGAGCCCATGCAATTGGGTCTAGAGCCTGTCACTCTTAACAACTAAGCTTCAAAAATTGAAAAAATCTGCCCTGATTGGCGTGGCTCAGTTGGTTGGGCATCATCCCGCAAAGCGAAGTGCCACCAGTTCAATTCCTGGTCAGGGTGCATGCCCGGGTTGCGGGTTCAGCCCCCAGTTGTGTCACATATGAGAGGAAACTGATTGATGTTTCTCTCTCACATCAATGTTTCTCTTCCTCTCTTCCTCCCTCCCCTTCCCTCACTCTAAAAATAAATAAATAAAATCTTTTTTAAAAAATTGAAAAAAATCCAAATTGCTGTTGGGAGTAATATCCAACAGGTCCGGGTGTAAAGAACACTGTAAATATAAAGTTTATGTTCCTTGGAAGAAAGCAGCCAATACTTCAGTGTTTCCAGGCCCTTGTTTGGGGCCATATATAAGAGCCTAAGATGCTTCCTCCAGGTTTCTAGAAGAATCTGCATCTCGGAAAAGTGACAGACTAGGTCTTTTTTCCATATGAAGATCCCACCCAAAGAATAATCAAGTAGAAGCCATAACAAGCAGGTGTGGTTCTTTGCCAATCTTTTCACTTAGGAAGAGAAAGCACTCCTTACCCTCAGAAGGAACGGGAAAGAGTGGGTCCTCATTGAAGGAGACCCACTCTGACTGCTGGGTAGCGATCACATGGTCCAAGGTCGTCATGCTAGGAAGGCGCTGGACATCTTCACAGTGCTGAACACAAGCAGACCCCAGAGTAATGTCTGGGGTGGGGGAAGGGGACGGCAGCGTGGGAGGCGTGGGCCTAGGGTCTGCAATGGTGGTCCTGCAGAAGGCAGCACTCAGAATGTAGACAGATTAGTCCCTCTTGCCTTTGGTTCATACACCAAGCAGAAATCTGTTAAAAAAAAAAAAAAGAAAGAAAATTTAAAAAGAATACCATCATATTATAACCAATCCACACAGGTCTAGGGCTTTCAACACTACCCACAAGGTGGTCTGGGTGATATCCACTGGGCTTACTTTTCTGTGTCCCTGTCTTGCCCCTTCTTCTCATAGGGAAATATTTTCCTTTATCATCAATCTCTGCATGTGCCTTCACATCAGACTTGTAAGTAATCACACAAATGTAAGCAATTATTTCCCCTGTTTTCCCCAGATATTACATTTTGGAAATACTTTTAATTATAATATAATGCCATCAATGTAAAACAAATATTAAAATTGTAACTTTCTTTTTCCAAATGGTGAAATAAAAACATTATTTGCTATTAAATCAGTGCAGTGTCTTGCCTTAGTCAGGTAGCTCTTTGCAAGCCTGAATTAAATCTTTGGCAGAAACCCAACAATCTCCAGATGGTATCTCCAAGCATGGTTTACCAATCAAGAAAAATAGAAATGGAGTCATTTTATTCATTTGGAGTAAGGGGGGCAGGGCATATTTTCTTTAGTAAAAAAATAGGAGTTAAACACATTTTTAGTCTAGGCTAATGTGAGTTAGTACATTAAAGTCTAGTCTTTACTTACATTGCAATTATGTTCTATGTATGTAGTAGGATACTTAACTGACTTATAATTTTGTTTGTAGTATTAATGTCCTTTTGCAACTTGAGCCTAGCTTTTGTTTTTATAATGAATTAATAAAATCTGAATGAATGCAGAATTAGTGTTTTTCTGCAAAAGAGCTTCTATCCACCTTGCACAATATCAGTTTTTTTAACCTACTACTCACAATATTCGCTTTTGTCTAGAACAATTGAACTCATAGCCTTCTGACTGGTGCACAATAAAAAGAAAATGTTGAGGAAATTTTATTATAGTTATTATTTGTAGTAAATAATCTATGCTAGGGAAAATCAGCATAGAAACATTAACAGCTTTTGCTTCTTTTTTTTTTTTTTTTTGGTAACTAAAATAGTTTTGTTGTATGGCACTTCCTAAAAACAACTGTTTGTATAGAATTTATAATTTTCAGGAACATATTTTCATATCATAATTCATTGATTCAACATTCATTTTAGTTGGGTAAGACAGGAATTAATATAATTCTCTTACGGATGAAGAAGCCTTGCCTGAGATAAGTTATTTATCCAACACTTTTGTTATTTCCAGGTCCTTGTGCGGTTCCTACATTCCTAAGATGTTTACTGCAGGCTTCTAAGTGAAAGAGTTCTCACATCCCAGGACCGTGACCAACCAACACTTTTCTTCCCTGTAGATCCCACTTCAAAGAATGATCAAGCAGAGACCATAAAAGTAGGTGTGTTAGATGTACCAATCTAGGCAGTGGAAGATACAACACTTGAACCCAGGTCTTTTGTTGCCAAGACACTCTAATCTTTGGGTCACAGTCACAAAAAAGTACTAGAGACCATACAAAAACTCTCACCCCACTGAAGCAACTGACAAACATCAGCTACAATGGAACCATAATGAAATGATCTGTGAAAATCCCCATAGAGAAATCTGCCAGGGTACCTATCCTGCAGAGAGAGTGCAAAGTCCAGAAATCTCTCCCCGAGTGTGTCCCCCAAGATCCTTACCAGCCACAGACCAGACTTGTGAAAACTGTCTGGAGAGTGCAGTGTTCTCCCAAGGAACCACACAGGGCCCAGACCCAAAGAGCTGATTCCACAGGCTTCTCCCATAAAGCCTTTCGCAAGCCCAGTCAAATGTTCAAGTCACTCAATGTGGTGATGGCTGTGGGCCAAGATAAGACAGTAAAATTTAAGAGTCAGGTGCCTCCTCTCCCAACAATAGCAACATGTAAACCAGGTCCAAGAACAATAAAAGAGCCACAACACATGTCCATGTGCTGACACATGCAGCATCATAACTCTGGGGAAAACATCCTGCAGATCCCGTGATGATGAATCCAGTGAAATTCACAGGACTGTGGGTGCGGGGAGGGGTCTGGGAAAGTAGAGAAGGAAAAGGGTGAAGGTAATGGAGTGAATATCTGGAAATTTTAGGGCTCGAAGAATATAAAGACCAAAAGTCCAGTTCTCAAGTTTATCAAATGAGAAAACGGAGGCCCAAGGAAGTTAGGTGTAGTAATAAGAATTGAGAGCATGCATGGGAGTTAGGTTGTCCAGATTTCAGTCCTCAGGTCACCCCTAAACCGCAGGAATAACAAAATTCACTTAATGATTTTATGGGTTAAATAAGATAATATACACCAGTGCTTAGCACTGGGAGTAGCAAACCCTCTGTACCAATGCCGATGGCATAGCGGGGCCCTCACAGAAGGCTTACTATGTGTCAGACCCCATTCCCAGCTTTTGATTAATGTCAGCCACAGCCATCCTTGCTGCTGCTAAATGACTCGCCCAAAGTCACATGGGTCATTAGTGGAAGTCTTGGGCCTAGAAGGCAAATTTTATGAAAGCACCCCACTCCTGTCTTGACACATTCAGGTTTTAGGGATTTCCCTTTTCAGTCATTTTTAGAGCAGTTCCCCAAATGCTGAAGGGAGTCAGACACTTAGTCTCCTCTTTACAGATACAGGCGTGGGAACCAAGGAACCACAACTACTAATCAAAAAGGATGAATGAAGAGCCCCAAAGATTTATCTACCCCGCTTAGCTCATGAATCTCAGATCCAGACATGAGCGATCATGAGTAGGCCCAAGCCTGGCAAAACAAATTTATTACAGAGAACTCTCTATCATAATCCTGTGAAATGGATTCTAGGTATTCACCATGATACGGCCACATCATCCAATAAGCCACCAGACGCCAGACCTTGAGGAGTGCTGTGCCAGCAGCTGGCAACCACAGAGGTACCCAATAATTGTGAGGTTAAGTTCACACTGGAATTGGCTTCTCTTTAAAAACCTCGCCCCATTTTTAGAATGTGAATCATAAAATAAGGCTTAGAATCACCACAAATGAGCAGTGACTCAGTACTCGTAGCAGAACTGACCAAGAGACACTAAAAACTTTATTGACGGCTCCGGGTTGCCATTTCAGAGAAGCTTCTTGCTTTGTATCCCTTACACACTAAAATTTGGGGATGTTGAATGCAGTTGGCTGATAGGATGAGAGTCACAGAAATAGATTTGTCTTCTGTCCTTCCTGTCGCACACATTCATGAGCCCTGTGTGTCTGGAAATGCACCAGGCACCCTTTGAGATAGTGGCTCTTAAGCAGTCTGCAGCCTAGCTGGGGAAGTGAAGGTACACAGAAGAGCAAACCCAAGAAATCAGGAATAACTGCCTGTTGGAGGACACACTAGAAATGCTGGTTGTCACTGAGAGATCTGAAGGGCTGGAAGCTTAGGGGTCTGGGCAGGTTTCTTGGATTTGAAGGACATTCTTGGTTTTGGACATCTGGAAGGGAAGAGTAAGGACCCTGGGACAGAGGATTGGCATAAGTGAAGATTAAGAATGAGACCTTTATGGGGCCTGTTTCTAGGCCAGTGAAAAGATCCGTCTGATGAGAGCTGAGCTCTCTACTGAGGAAATGTGGGGACAAAGGATTGGTGGCCTTAACAGCTGAGAAGAGGAATTCAGTGGGACAGGGGAAGATGCGGAAGGTTTAAGAGTAGAGAGTGACTCAGGTAGTGTGCCCAGGGGAGATGAACTTTCCTCAGACTCTACAGAGCAGGAGCTTGGTGATGGAAGCTATTGGCCACAACAGGACCTCAGCGTGTCCCAAAAGTCGGGGGTCAGCATCATCAGCAACATGTCCTGGGTACTCTGTGCTGTGCCCATTCAGGGCCTGAGGGTTAAGAGAAGAACAGGATAGCATCACTGGCCTCAAGTAGCTTATAGTAGATTTCAGGGAGGTATGACAGCAACATAAAACAATAACAATAGGCTTGCTAAACTATTGATAGGTTATCCATCAAAACACTAAATGGCAGAGAGTAAGAGCTTTAAAAGACTACTAAGGGTCTGAGCAGTTGGGGGTCATGAGCTATACCATAAACGGGAGGGGCAAAGATGTCTTAAGGGGGGAACAGGAATGGTCCAGCTGGCAGTTTATCTGAAGAGGGCGGGAGTGGTGCTGGGTACAGTGGGAAGGGAGCGGTCAGAACAGTGACAGCTCTGAATTTCAGAATGAGTTTGAACCCTTGAAACTACCCTTTCCGTTTCCACTGCCAAAACTGGTTCATTCCCTTGCCTCTCTCATTCAGTTCATCACCAGCCTCCGACCAATCTCCCGGCCTTCAGCATTGTCCCTTCGAACCTGCTACGCAAACTACTGTGCCAGGGTGGTGGCCTTCAAACCTGAAAATGCCCCTGCCATGGTTCATCTTAAAAACACTCCAATGCCTCCTCACAGCCATAGACTCCTCTCCACTTTATGTTGGCCAGAGCCTGTTTCTGTTGCTTACAACCAAGAACTCTGCTATGTGATACCTTTCCTTGACTCCCAGTCATCCCACTTGCCCCTTACCCCTCCTGTCCTCTGTACGCTGATGGTTTCTTACCTACACTCATTTCTCAGATTATGATAAACTTTTGTGGATGTGGCTATCTGCCAATTAGCACGTGAGCTCCCTGAGGAAAGGAACTGAGACTTTTTCTTGTGGATGCTCCCAACCCTTAGAATAGGGTCTGGAATTTTGTAAATGTTTGTGGAATTAACGGTTGAATTGAATGAATGAATGAATGAATGAACAAATGAACTTGTTTTACCATGTAGTAGGTAGCATGTTTCTCTTTGATCTAAAACTGTGCTGTCCAATTCCAATACAGTAGTGACTAGCCACAACTATTGAAATGTGGCTCACCCAAATTGAGTTGTTCTTTAAGTTTAAAATACATAACCATTTTCAAAGAGTAGAGAAGTGTGTAAAATATCTATTTAATAATTTTTTATTGATTACATGTTAAAATGATATTTTAGAGATATTGGGTCAAATAAAATATATTACTAAAGTTAATTAAC